CTATGATCATGTACCTATCCCATAAATGTAAACAAATACTTTTTCCATGTCTACCCTACAACAAATATAACGTACACAAACTTCACTTTTCCGGTAAATATGCATAAAAGGTTACACCTCACCGATTTTATCGCCACTTAAATATGTTATAGGGGAGGTTTTTCTGAGTAATTCGCCGCAAGAAAAAAGTGGGGGAAAGCATTCGTTTAGAAGATATGACAAATCAAAGTTTGACATTAAAGTTTGTGTATGCTGTAATAATCTATTATTTTTTTATTGAAAAAGGCTTACGACTTTAACTGGGAAAGTGTATGGGTGGATGCAGGGGGTTCCCCCCCCCCCCCCCCCCTACGGGGGGGCTCCACTTCCGGAGAATATAACCTAACCCAAACCTATTTCTGATTTAAAACTAAGATTTGGTTTGGATTACGTTATACAACCATCTATGACCCTATACCTATCTCGTAAATATAAACAAAAACATTTCCTACGTCCTCTGCAAAAAATAAAATATACACAAATATCACCGTTCCTAATTTTATTTTATAATATTTCAAAGAAAGCATTAAAATTGTGAAATTTCAATTTATTATATCTTCTAAACGAATGCTTTCTCCCACTTTTCTCTTGCGGGGAATTACTCAGAAGAACCTCCCCTACAACATATTTAAGTGGCGATAAAATCGGTGAGGTGCAACCTTTTATGCATATTTACCTTAACTCCGACCGCCACTTGATTCTTGCGGGGAATTACTCAGAATACTCCCCCTTACAACATATCTAAGTGGCAATTAAATCGGTGAGGTGTGACCTTTTATGCATATTTACCATCAATGAGTATACAGGGTGTTCCGGAACAACCTTCCGTCCGTGAAATGACGTATTCCTGATACAATTCTAAGACGATTTTTCCTTTACCAAAATTTGAATTGAAGCGTAATTTTTGAGTTATAAGCAAAAATAGTTAGCAAATCACGCGTCGAATACAGAAGGCAGGCAGGAGCGGCGCGGCGCGCCGCGAGCGCCCGACACAGCTGACCGTCTCATTACCACCGCATGGGTCGCTAACTATTTTATCTTACAACATAAAATTAGGCTTTAAATAAAATTTTGGTAAAGAAAAAAATATTTCAGAATTATGTCAAGAATACGTGTTTCTTAAAATAACGTCACTCTAACAAAAGTTGTTGCGGATCGCCGGCCGTCGGACACTGCAACCAGCTGATTGCTAACGCGATGTGTGTATGGCAGAGTGTATGTGCGTAAAAGAAAGAGAGAGAGAGAGAGAGAGAGAGAGAGAGTGAGGAAGGGAAGCAGGGAGAGACGTTTATACACACGCACGCACATACGCATACACTTTTTTCTCGCTCTCTTTCTCTCTTTTACACAACACTCATACACTCTCTCATTCAGTCACTCATTCACTCACTTACTCACTCACCTGTTCACTCACCTGCTCACTCACAGCGAATCTTCATGCTACGTATTGTTAACTGCTGCACGGTTATTATTATTTAGCGACGGACCGCGGAGACTGCGCGACCACATTGTTACGTTGCCTAGCGCCGCCGAGAAACGCGACATGTACCCGACATGTAGCGACATGCAAGTTACGACGTGCGCGTGGCGCGTGATCGATGCGAGATAAGACGAACGATCTTCTAAAACCTTCGCATTGCGAATGCGTTAGAAAACATGAAACGTATAATGACGTATTTAAAAAAATTAATTATTTATCATAATTAATAACTATTTCTAATTATAATAAATAATTATTATTTTAAAAAGCATGTATTATACATTATTACGTTTTCGAAATTATTGCATTTACGATGCGAAGGTTTCAGTCAATCGCAAGATCGCAAGAATAATGTAATTAATAAATTACATTTGGGAAAATTTATTTTTATTCTGCTCAAATCAGATGTTCCAACGTTAAAATATATTGGTCGCTCTGAAAAGAGCGGATTGTTCGAACTCCGATGGGTTAGCGCCCTCATCCAAGCGTAACTAAAATTATTGATAATACCGACCGAAATTATCGATAATATCAATAATTTTAGTTCCGCTGTTACCGATATGAATATTTTTGCATGTTCTATGCATATTTAAGGGGATCCCAAAGGGTCTGTTTTACCGACAAAAATTTTATTTTGCAAAACCTTTTTGTTGATTATAGATATCAAAAAATCCTTTTCCACAATTAAAGTATACATAATAACGGAGGGCGGAGTTTAACATTTCATATGAAAAGTGGAAAAAAATGATAAAATCACAGTTTAGTTATGGGCCTGTGCCGTCAACATTTACTTAATATAAAAAACCTGCAACCTGCACGTGCCTAACAAGTGAACTCCGCACTCGGCATTTTATCAAAGAGTATTAGTGAACTTCGAGAAGTGAGTTTAGAAGCTTTATAAAAAAGATTCTGCAAAATAAAATT